TCTGCTTTTGTTGGGTATTTCAATTGTTTGATGTTAGGATGAGTTCCTATTTTGCAGTACTAACTATAAAATAAAAATCGTTCCATGGAGTACAGCCTCCATTTCCAATGTGAGGAGATTTGTCTTCACATATTGATTTAAGTTCTGCTAGTACAAACTGAATTACACAATACGTCTTTTTTTTTAATGATATTATGATGGTATAAGAACTATTTTTCTCCCAATTTTGTAATTAGAGAGGTGCTGTCTATTCTTCCTTTTTTTTCTTTTTTTTTTTCTTCTCTTTATTTCATGGGATTATCTTCCGAATGTATTTGAAAAAATGTATGCTTTTTTCCTTTAGCTCATAAGCTGATTTATCAATTTCCTTTCTTCAGGAACCTCGATTGATCAAGGCATTGCCTATGTGCTGATGTTTGTGGCTTTGGCGCTTACTTATCTCATCCACAGCTTCAGTTTTTTTTAAGTTACTCTCTGGAATTCCCAGATAATTTAGACTAGTGCTGCACATGGGGATTTTTTCTTTTTTTTTTTTAAATTGAATGTGGGGGTGCATTTGTTTTGAGAGATTGAATGGAATGGAGAAGGGCTTTTGCTCATCATTCTTTTGTTTCTTTCTTCATTTCTTGAATTCCTTTGCTTTCTCATTTCCTGCTTCTTTTTAAGCTGTTCTTTAATTGTCTCTATGTAAATGGTATGGCAAATATATTTGTTTTGTGATGCTTCTTTAATCTTTCTGGTAGTCTCTTACTTTCTTCACTGTAATCCTTGATAACATGCAATGTGAAATTGGTAAAACTGCAAAAAGTCTGCAGATTGGCACTTAACTTTTTCAACTTGTGAAATTGGTAATATTATGCTCAATTTGCTAATTAATCCTCAATCGTTTCGAAATATTCAAATTTCAAATAAGTATTTAGATTTCAAAAGGTTTAGGTTCGTTTCAATTGAGTCCTTGATTCAAACTTATGTTTGTCCTTCAAAGAAGTTAAAACAATAAAACGGGTAAGAATAATCCTTATTGGTGTTCGTTTTATGAATTGGTCCTTTAAATTTCGCACTGTTCAATATGGTCCTCGTGTTCACGGGTGGTCAGAACTCAGAAGCATGAAACTTGACAATTTATTATTATTATATATATATATTTTTTTTCAGATTCGCTCTGCATTGTTCATATTAAGATATTTCTTTTGTAAAAAAATTAATTTAAATACTATTGAAAATTGTGTGGAGTGATATGATCATTTACAATTCTGCTATTTAACAGTTATGATACAAGGAATAAGTTTTACTCTGGCTCATAGAAAGATTGGGTGCCTTATCCGCTCAACAAAACAAATCTGTGCTTGCAACATTGAATTGATTGCGGCGTGCCAGAACACAAAAACTCACTTCGGCTTTTGCATCCATAGCTTCTTCTGCACAGAAACAGATATCCGCCAAACTCTCTGAAACACTCAAGGTTTCTGCAGAACAATGCCAGTCTCTGGTGCATGTTTCATTCCTTCGTTGCTCTTTGGTTAAATGCAGGTATCTTTCAGCAAAAATCAACAATAACTGGCAAGCATCTTTCAGTCACCATGTCTTCGATGTAAAGCCGTACTTATTACTTGACAACCTCGTTGTAAAGGAAACAACAATCCCCGACACAAGGGCCAGCACTCGACCAACTTGGGGACCAATTCCAGTGAAAAAGAAGACCCATTATTCCTTAATCCCTGTCCCAATTTCAAATTAGCATTAAGGTAATCAGGGTGGACCAGCACTAGTATTTTGAATGCCTTCAAATAATAAGTTCAAATAGCTTTCCTAGTATCAAATAGGATACCACATATCCCAGTGGATAACCCCACACCACAGGATTCACCAGCTAACACTGCTTTGACAGCTAGAAGAGATCCACACATTAGCTTAGGCTGTTTAGCTGTGTCATTTACCAAGAGATTTGCTTGCACATAAGACAGCATTAGCACTACCAAGCACTGAAAAGCAAGTCCATAGTTTACCTATCAGAAAGCAACAATACACCTTCAAGAAACAGGGATAACACAAAGGAAGGCTACATACCTCCAAATTTCTAGTGGTGTCTGTCTAGTAGTCATCTTCAATGACCTAGCAGAATCCTTCTAGTAACCAACAAAGAATCATGATGTTGATAATATTTTATGAATTGTTTGGATCCTTTAAGTATAGTTGATATTGCCTAGTCAGATCTTCTCGATAAACATTTCACATGTTAGATTTGTCAAAATATTGGATTATATCATATGCCCCAGTCCCCACATATCAATTGGACATCAAATGTATGGCCACAACCACCAGAAACACATGTCATCTGACCCAGAGAAAAGGAAGATTGATAGAATATTTTTTTTTTATTTAATCACTTGCAAATTGTGCCCAAACACCAGTCCACAAGATGCGCTAGTTTTAGACTATTATAAAGAATATGTGACAGTTTTGTAAGCTAGATTTATAGTATATTAGGCTCTGTAATTTTGCATGTGGGAAGATTGAAGAGGAATTGATGGGGCCTGCGTCAAATGCTGAGATAGAATATTAACCCCAAAATGACTCTGAGCTTCTGAGCCTTTCTTAAGTCTCCAGTCCAGCTCAATGCAATTTGATAATTGGGTTGGGCTTAATTAAACAAAGAGAAATTAGGCATTCTAATATTTGATTTCTCTCAATACTGATCTCATTATTAAATATAATCAAGAAAAGATCTTCAAGGGCCCATAAAGGGTAGATCTGATGGGCCCTATGAGTGTTGTTGGTTCATAACATTTTGAGGTGATGACTGATGGGCGTTTATTGGAAGCACCTCCAAATGGGGTGGGTTGATGGGCTCAGACAGTGAGATTTCTGTGGGCTTTCCTTTTCTGTGTACTTTACTTTACTTTATTTTATTTTATTATACAATAAAAGACAACTATATTTTATTTTTTATCTCATTTTATTCACATATCATGCAATTCGAATTCAAAATATGTACTTTTAATAACAAAAAGAAAGGATAGTTTCCTATTTTTAAAGAAAAAGTAGACCTAGACCTAGACCCTTTATACAGGAACATGGAATCCATGCCGGAGAAGAATGTTAAGGTGAAACGTAGAAAAAGGTTATAGCTGTGGAAGGACAAAGGACATGAGGCGGGCGCTCAACTTTAGCTGCGCTGGCAGCCTTTTTCTTGAGTCCTCGCCAAATGCATGCTTCCCTTTGGAAAATAAACAAAAATATAGAAAATGTTATGCAATGAAAATTACATCACTTAAATATTTAAAAGTTATATTTTATTAATTTAATAATAATTTTTTAAAATTTAAATAATATAATATATATTAAATATATTATCAAATCATATAATATACAAGTAAAATATATTAAAAATAAAAAATAGTGGACTCAGTTGTGCAACTTAACATCTTTATTAACATCTTCATAATCCATAAAAATATATCACCAACCCATTAACACTGAATCACACTCAAGAGTCAATATAAACAGAGCAAAGAACTAAGACCAACACACCAATAGAAAAGCAGAAACAGAGATCATATTTACATATTTACTGGGATTCAAATAAGACATATAAAATTCTAGAATCAGAAATAATTTTCAATATCCCCAGAAAAAGAATCAAAATCTATATCTAATTTATCTAAGAAATTGCAACAGTAGTCCTTCAAATTTGTCTCTTCAAGTAATATCATCCCAATCTCACCAGCGAATATAGTCGGAGGACACTCAGAATAGACAGAGGCGGGATCTAATAGATATTCATGAAAAGACTGGGATTCTTCTTTTAGCTCCTGAACCCAGTTGGTTTCCACGGGCCAGTCCGAGTTGGGTCTCTGTTCATGGAAAGACTCTGGTTTGGACTCTGCTCCGAGTTTTATTTCCTCGTTGGACTGGAAACGGAGGACGGAGATGGGTGAACAGATGCTTTGAGAGTCCTTACCGGAGTCATACCCAGAAACGGTATCCAAGTCGATATCAATCTGAGGGGGAATAAATTTCGGAGGAAATTGTGTGAAATTCGTGGGCGCACCGGGACCTTTGAGGCGAATGGCAGCATTGTCGTAGGCCAAGGCGGCCTCTTCTGGGGTGTCGTAAGTTCCCAGCCAGACTCTGGTGCGGGTAGCAGGGTCTCTGATCTCCGATGCCCACCTTCCCCATGGCCTCTGTCGAACCCCAATATACTTGACGACGCTGCTCGGAAAAGTTTGCTGCTTTTTCGATCTCCCATGCGCCGTATTGTTCTTCAGCTTCTTCTTCTGCTGCTGCTTGATTGTCCTGGTGAATCGTACCGCCGAACAAGTTTCAATTTTGATTTCGTTGATATGCCTTTTCACCTTCTGGTTGCACTCCTCATCCTCATCACTTGATGATGAGTCGGTGGCATCCCCGTCAATGACTGAAATCCGCACAATTCGTGGGGTTTTGAGTCTGCCGGAGTCCATAAAAGCCCACTCGCTCGATGCCGATACCTTCACTAGCTTACTGGTAACCGTTCTGTGCTCTGTGTATTTGATTTGTACAGATGGTTGATTCATCTCGAAAAGTTATTGGATTGAATATGCAAAATCATCAAAGAGATGGGTATACGCAAAATCCTCAGTTTTAAATCTGGAATGAAGGAAACCGGAGATAACTAAGGAAAGAAACGGTAGAATTTCAATTGCAGGAAGAGTCAAAGCTCAAAACACCAAATATCGCTATTTTATAGGATTATTATGTGTTTTAAACTACTCATTTAATAAATATTATAATAGGTTCGTACCTTTTTTTTCTTTCTTCTGTATTAGCCTCTTATTATTGATAACAAAACTAAACCGAAATTGGACCGCCTTAGATTTTATAAGGGTTTTTCAATATTTTTTTTTATTTATAAAATTTAAATTTTTATTTTTATTTAAGAGAAATCAAGTCTTTTCTAATTCATATTAATAAATTGTTGATTATGTTTGTACTATTAATTTATA